TTGAGTTTCCTTTTAGAGCCAAACGTCATTTCTCAGGAGATGGTTCCGGGGCCAATGTTTATTTATTTTTAAGAGACAGCATGAGTTGGGGAGGGGCAGAGAGATGGTAGATAGAGAATCCAAAGCAGACTCTACAGCAGCAAACCTGATACGGGGCTCAAACTCATGAACCACCAGAGAACCACCAGATCTTGACCTGAGCCAAAGTCCGATGCTTAACCATCTGAGGCACCAAGGCTCCCCTGGATAAGACCTTTTATTAAAACTGTACCACAGCATGACTTCTCTCTCTGCCCAATCCTGCTTCTGTTCCTTCCCTTTCACAAATGTTAATCCAAAAGCCCTTCCTAAGGAATGTCTGACATACTAATCTCCATCTCAGAGTCTGCTTCACAGGGAACCTGCCAACAGCTTCCTTCAGAACCACAAGCAAAATGCCAGAAAATCTCAGTATTCAGCAAACCATCACAACCTACAATTGAGTTAGTTAACAAATGTATCACTCCACCATACTTGCTCACAGGTTAGCACCCTAAGACATTTTCAAAAATTCATGCTGATCTTTACAGTTTAAAGAACAGCCAAGCTAAAACTGAAAATATGTTTTCTCTAAGATCTAATCTGATCCTGATTTACACATGGACCCAAAAGGTCAATCAAGTTTGGCCAAGACAGTCCCCCTCCCTAAACTCTCTAGAGGATTTAGACTCTCACTTTGGCAGCAAAAGATATCAAAATGGACTTTCTTGCTGGATAAAAGTTTGAGGGACCCTAAAAGCTGGAAGCAGAATCAGACAAAATGAAGACTTTACTACACCACCTGCAAATTTTGGCAAACAGATGCTGAAATGACATTTGTGCAGATTTGGTCACAAGACATTATGTGGCCCACAGGACTGTAGGGAACTGATGTGTTTGCTGACCCTGGTAGAAGTCCTGCCCCCTTACCTCTGAGCACATACAGGCTCCCTTCTTGCTCTGTCATGCTGAGGTCTTCCCTGCTCTTCTTTTTCTCCAAAGCAGAGGCTTAAAGAATCCAAAAAACCTGGACGCAATTCTATCCTCATGACTTACTAGTTGTGTGAACGTTTGGAAGGGATTAACCTGAGTCTCATTTTCCTTACCTGCAAAAATGCAGATTAAAAAACAAAACAAAACTTCTATGGTGCATTGGCAGGAATGAAAATATTCGGCCCACTGTCAGAGTGACACCAAGCCACTCAGAGCCATACAGAGCACGTCATAGCACTGTGTGTCACATTAACAGGCACTAACAGTGGTTCTCACCTTTGCTGCGCAATGGAATTGACTGGGGAGCTTCAAAAGTACTGAAGCCGGGACAGCACCCCCAGGGAGTTTGATATAATTGGTTGAGGATGCTGAAGCATCAAAAATACTTCAAGTTGGGAGTGCCCGGCTGGCTTATTAGGTAGAGCGTGTGACTCTTGATCTTGGGGTTGTGAATTTAAGCCCCACATTGGGTGTAGAGATAACTTAAAAATGAAATCTTTAAAAAAATATTTAAAGCTCTTCAGAGGATTCTAAGGTCAAAGTTGACAACAACTGCTCCCTACAGATTCTTTTACGTAAGCCATGCAACTATCCTATGAATTTAGTGCAATTATCCATCCTTCCCTCATTTTTACAGACAAGGAAATTGAGGTTTAGAAAGGTTAGAAGACTACTCAAGTGTACAAGACTATTAAGGGGCAAAGCTGAGAGTTGAATTCACACAGTATGACTCCTAAGACCTTACCGCCATCAGCACACTGCTGTGCTACCACCCCACCTACTGAATGCGGAGAACCTTCTAGCACGGCTTTGAGCTTTCAGAAGATACCCCAAAATTGGTAGCTAATTTGTTCTTTTCTTTTTAGCTTTCCTCCTCTCCATTCTCTGCTCTTCCCAATCGCAACCTGAGACATTGATTACAGTTGATGAGGAGTGAGGGATGGATACGACTTAGAAGCATAGTCTGGAAGGATTCAGGAAAAAACTATTATTTTTCCTTCTTCTCCCCTTCCTAAAACGAGGCCATGAGCACACAGTTGTTTTCTGTTTAAAATGTTTTTAGATCATTATTACAGAGACTATATTGGAAATATCAGAAACCCTAAAGGAAATTTTTCTACCACCCTTCTCAAGTCTGAGTCAATGTTTCATTTGCTTACATACATGTGGATGTATGGTTTTTACAATTAAAAAATCATAATTAGATATTCCGATTTGTCTGTTCACATTATGTCAGGCACACTTTTCCAGAAGATTTGTTTTATAAGCCAATTAAGCCTCCTAATAAGCTCTGCAGATAATGAAGATAATTTACTACTTAAGTGGGCTCAAGATCTTTTCATTAAAAGTGTTCCTCCTACCAAAAAAAAAAAATTTAGCCTTATAACTCTGAAAACTGATAAAAAAGTTTGTCACCATGTAAAAGTCACAGGATATGACATTTGGCTTTCTTTATTTGCTATGTACTGCTCAGAGCCCACATACCACACCCCCACGCTGGGAACCAAAGTAAGTGCTCAAAAAATACACAATGCATAAACAAATGATACTTTTCTTGGCTGAACAGTAAATTGTATAATCCGACTTCCTAGGAGACTCTGAAGCGAAATCTGAGAACTGAGCAGAGTGACCAAGAGCAAATTGAGCGGAGAACAGCCGGAAACCCCTGGCAAAGGCCAGCTGCATTAGCCAGGAGGAAACATGTGCTTTCCTGAATTGCACCCATGCAACACCATCAACCTTTGAAGCATGACATATAAACACTGCCAAGGATCTTCAGCTCTCCCTTCAGTCACTCTTTGGAGTTATTTGTAAAAAGTTGCTTACACTTTTGGGCTCTTCTCTCCCTGTGCACTCATCTTGGAAGGGACACAGAGGCAGAGGCAGCTGTAACAAAAAACTAAGGCTGCAAAGAACTGGAGTAGGTATGATTCAGAGAACACCCTGGTCAATGTCCTTAGACGAGGGTTCTTAAGCCAGGCCTCCCCTGGACACCGCAGTGGGATTTCAGGAAACTGGTAACGTTGTGTAGTTAGTGTAAATTGTGAGTGTGTGTATGTGTGTCTCTCTGTCTTTCTGTCTGGAAAGGAGACCAGATGTCATCAGATTTTGCTTTTGGTTTTAGAGCCTGCTCCTTTTTCTCCACTTCATCAACCCAAGTGGGGCTCGTCTAAACCCCTCACTCTTCATCAAGAGCTGGACGTGGGGATGTGTAGGAGAAGATGGAAGACAAGGAACCTCACCCTGTGGAAGACCTTCTAAATGAGTCAACAGATGTGACCAGATTCAAGAGTGCCTAGCATGTGTAAGGTCCTATAAATGTTGTAATTATTACTCTCTGCCAAACACTTTAGGCTTTTGCAACTTCACAACCACCCTAGAGATCAGCATAAATCCCATATTCTATTTACAAGGAGATTTACTTAGGGGGATAGAGTAAACTAACCCAGGGACCCAGCTATCCAATTCCAGAACTATCCAATTCCAAAGCTTGGACTTTTTATCTCCACCCCACAGCCTGAATTAGTGGCCACATTTTCAGTCTCGGGCCAGCCTCTCCATCCTTAAGTCTTTCACATCTAAAGCTCGAGAGTCTTGCTCTTTCCCTGAGTCTGTCCGTCAAAACAGGCACTGAGCCTAAGAATGAGCTTCTTTAAGCCAAGCCCTAATCTCTACTGGCTTGCATAATATGGTCCCAGGAATCCTACTCAAATTCCACACTCATAGCCAGTTGTTCGCCCAGTTTATCAAGGGTTAAATATGACAGAAATTACATGTTATCACAATGAATTCCCTTGCCTCTACTGATATAGCCAAGCCAAAGGCGAGAAGGGAAGAAATGTTTTCTGGTAGTCACAAAGCAGAATGAGAAAGCTCTAAACAAATGCCTACTGTTCTCTGGTTTCAAAACCCATGCTAAAAACTGCTGTTAAATACCAGCTACTAAAACAGCTTTCCCCAAACAGGTGAAAATCCTGACGATTGCATTGTATGGATCACTACCTAGGTGTCTGCACTTTACTAATGTTGTCCCTATGCCTCCAAAGAGCCAAGCATTGCTGGCTAGGTGTTACTTCTGGAAAAGTTAGACAAGGCTCTCAGGGTCAAAAAGGCAGTGAATAGCAGAATCAGGACTCAAACCCAGGTCTGTATGAGAACGGCATCAGTGCTTTTAACCATGCTCCTCCCACCGTCTACACAACCAATGTGAATCATGGTACTCAGGGCCAAGCATCTCTTCTTGTTTTTGTCTGGATCGACTTCCCTGATACCTAGCCAACCTCTCAAGAGGAGAAGGCAAGGAAGCAAGACAGATGCTCTATAAATAGAAAATCCGAGTTTCAGGTCCAGTCCCGTCATTCCCTAGCTCTGTAACCTTGGATAGAGAGCACTTAACTATCCAAGGTCTCAGTTTCCCCACCTCTGCAATGAAGATCACCGTTCACATTGCACAGGCCTGGGAAACAATGGGAGCTAAGGCTTTACTCCTACTTAACCCACTAATGCAATAACCAGTAGTAGCCCTTTCTCAGCCTCCCCCGCCCCCCTCCCCCACCAGCGCTCATCTGTGAGGTCTTCCTGGGCCACCCCTCCTTCTCACGTCCCCCGCCCCTCTCCTCCCTTTTGGCTGCTGCTTAACCTCCCTCCATTACAGCAGCTGTCTTGCCTCTTCGGAAGGTCGGGCCTTGGGTGCGGGGACTTCTTTCTTTCCAACTCTGGGCACAAGGGCTTGTCTTTCCTCAGGACGTCGGGGCAGCGACCTTTGCGCAGCTGCGGCGGGCTCCGCAATGCCCCCGCGGGGTGAGCACGCGGCCGCGCGTCCTGCCCCGAGGGGGCGGGGTGTGACCAGAAAGTTTACATAGGAGGTGCCTGCAGTGGGGAACACCCCTCCGCCCGCGGAGCCTCCTCTGCCGCGTAGCTTCTCGGCCGGACCCCTAGGCGCGCGCGGCCGCCGGGGGTTCCCACACCCGGACCCCGGGGCCCTGGCCCTCCCGCAGCGCCACCAGCCATGCGGCAGCCGCTCTACCGCTGCTACAACACCACCTCCGTGGAGAAGGGCAACTCGGCGACCATGGGCGGGGTGCTCTTCAGCGCGGGCCTCCTGGGCAACCTGCTGGCGCTGGGGCTGCTGGCGCGCTCGGGGCTGGGATCGTGCCCGCCGCGCACGCCGCCCTCGGTCTTCTACGTGCTGGTGTGCGGCCTGACGGTCACAGACTTGCTGGGCAAATGCCTCGTGAGCCCCTTCGTGCTGGCCGCCTACGCGCAGAACCGGAGCCTGTGGGGACTGGCACCCGCGTCGGACAGCTCGCTGTGCCAAGCCTTCGCCTTCTTCATGTCTTTCTTTGGGCTCGCCTCCACCCTGCAGCTCCTGGCCATGGCACTGGAGTGCTGGCTTTCCCTGGGGCACCCCTTCTTCTACCGACGGCACATCACCCTGCGCCGCGGCGCGCTGGTGGCGCCGGTCGTGGGCGCCTTCTGCCTGGCTTTCTGCGCGCTGCCTTTCGCGGGCGTCGGAAAGTTCGTGCAATACTGCCCCGGCACCTGGTGCTTCATCCAAATGGTGCACGAGGAGCGCTCGCTGTCGGTGCTGGGCTACTCGGTGCTCTACGCTAGCCTTATGGCCCTGCTGGTCCTCGCCACCGTGCTGTGCAACCTGGGCGCCATGCACAACCTCTACGAGATGCACCGGCGGCTGCGGCGGCGCCCGTGCCCGGGCACCAGGGACCGCGCGGAGCTGCGCGCCCGCGAGAGGGAGGCGGCCGCGCAGCCCCTGGAGGAGCTGGACCACCTGCTGCTGCTGGCCCTCATGACCGTGCTCTTCACTATGTGCTCCCTGCCTTTAATAGTGAGTCGCTGCGCGCCGAGGCTGCCATTGCGGGACGAAAGGGTGGAGCGCAGGAGGAGTTGCGCCCCGGGCACCCAGGGTTTGTTGGTGCACTCCCCAGATCCGGTTCCCTCCACAGCCCCGAGGACAGACAACCTAATTTGTTGAGCCCGAAGAGGGGAGAAAACAAAGAAAGGAAGGGAAAGGCCGAGTCTGATGGTGTCTCCCTAGCGCCGCAGAGTCTCCCCAAATAGCAGTACCCTCTCCCCTCTCGTTCCCCCTGCGAAGATCTCGGGGTCGTTTGGTGCCTCGGAAGTTTGAGGAGCAGAATTTGGTTCCTCCTTCCGGATAGCTAGGTACTGTGTTATTTCGTACACGTGCCCGTGATTTTAGTGGCATCAGAAATGGGCGAATGCACCTGGGACTTTCCCCCCAGGTGTTGGCATGGAAAGAGAATAAAGGAAGGCTTAATGCTGCCAGAGTGAGAGATGAGAGACTAAAGATAGATTTAGTTTTTTAAAACTTCTTAAGTAATCTTTGAGGAGTGGCGGTTGCTCTTCCTGATGGGGGATGGTGGCAATAGAGGAGGAGAGGCTGTTTGGACAGGCAGGTGTGTACTCACACGGTTCAGCCCGTGGTGTCGTTTTGACAACCTGTCTTGACAGGTTTTGTTTTATCTTGCTTGGTAAGCGAGGTGACAATGAAAGCCATTATCTCGGGTTTCCATTTACATTGGGGCTGGTGGTGGAGATTGAATTACCTGGTAGCTTTGAGGGTAGTTTTCTCCTGGGGTCCTGGAGGCCAAGACATCTGGAGGCAACAGAGGCTGAGAAAACTTGTAAAGGGTTGCTACTCTGCCTCTCCCCCATCCTCAGTGTTTTTGTTCAACATGATGTACATTTAAGTAAATTCATTGCCAATTCAGTGCCTTTGCTGAGATGTCTGTGAGTAGGTACATTAAGTTTCTCAGGGCAATGTAGCAATTTTGGATGTTATTTTTAAGATTGGAAGAAGGTAAAATATAATGAAATTTTACTTAAATGGAGGCCTTAAGGTGTGGGAAACGAGTTGTCTGTGACATCATCATGCAGGGTTAAGCTCAAAAATAAATAAATACATCTTTATAGAAATAGATCAGGTATAGGCATAGATATTTAACAGTGGTTCTCAAACTTTAGCTCACTCAGAATCATCAACAGAGCTTTTAAAAACGCAGATGGCAGGGTACCTGGGTGGCTCAGTCAATTGAGCCTCGGACTCTTGATTTTGGCTCAAGTCATGATCTCATGGTTTGTGGGCTCAAGCTCCATGTCAGGCCTGTGCTAACAGGGGTGTGGAAACTCTTTGGAATTCTGTCTCCCTCTCTCTCCCCCTCCCCCACTTGCTCTCTCTCAAAAATAAATAAACACACACACACACACACACACACACACACACACACACATGCCTGGGCCCTATTCCCCAGAGTTTCTGATTCAAATGTTTTTGAAGAATTCTTATTTTATTTATTTATTTATGAGAGAGAGAGAGTGCAGTGGAGAGAAAGAGAAAGAGAGAGGGAATCTCAAGCAGTGCAGAACCCAACGCAGGGCTGTATCCCACAAACCATGAGATCGTGACCTGAGCTGAAACCAAAGGTCCCACTTTCAACTGACTGAGCCACCCAGGCGCCTGAGAAATCCTTAGTCTTCACAAATTCCCAGGTGAGGGGAAAGCTGCTGATTCAGGGATCCCATCTGAAGACCCAAACTCTACAGCAGGAGTTGGCAAACCACAGCCCACAGTCCAAATCCATCCTGACTGCTGTTTTTGTACAGCTCTGGAATTAAGAATAGTTTTTACAAATGAACTGATTTCGCAAATCGATTTGATGGTAGTGTGCAGGAGCTATAAACCCCAGTTAACTCAAATACTATTCCAAGAAAAAAACACTTTTATTTTTCCCAACAGTAGACATCAGTTACTCCCAAAATGTACGTAGTTATTATTAACATTTTTAATCTCATCGGTAAAAATTGTGGAAATGTGTTTTCTCGATTTAGAGGTACCTACCAAATACTTACTATTGGCCTCTTGACCTGTAAAATCTAAAATATTTACTGTTGGGCCCTTTACAGAGAAAGTTTGCAGACTCCTGCTCTAAAGGAATAGCTCACTTATGTGTGCTGTGAAAAAGCAGACAATAGCCAAATGCATGGATATTATGTCCTCAGTTTGAAAGTTTTAGTAACAATGTAGAAAAGAACATAATACAGCATAATGCAAGAGCATCGCATTTGGACATGTCTGTCAGGGGAATTGAATAACTTATACAGGATTGTGAGGATGGAAGGAAATAATGGATTTGAAAATGATTTTAGGGGTCCCTGGGTGGCTCAGTTGGTTAAGCGTCCCACTCTTGATTTGGGCTCGGGTTATGATCTCAAGGTTGTGAGATGAAGCCCTGTGTGGGGGCTCCGGGCTGGGTGTGGAGCTTGCCTAAGAATCTCTCTCTCCCTGGGCTCCTGGGTGACTTAGTCGGTTAAGCCTCCAGCTCTTGATTTCAGTTCAGGTTGTGATCTTGAGGTTTGTGAAATGGAGCCTCACATTGAGCTCCTCAATGACAGCACAAAGCCTGCTTGAGATTCTTTCTCTCTCCCCTCTCTCTGCCCCTCCCCTGCTTGTGTTCTTTCTCTCTCTCTCTCTCAAAATAAACATTAAAAAAAAGATTCTCTCTCCCTCTCCCTCTGCCCTCCCCCCCTCATGTGCTTGCACTCTCTCATGATATCTCTCTCACTAAAAAAAGAGAGAGACACACACACAGCGACAGAAAGAAAGAGAGAGAGAGAAAGCAAATGATTTTATTTAAAACCTTGTAAACTTCCAAAGATATGCAATGCAGACAGGTGTTGAGTTTGAGAAGTTCTTTATAGATTTTTGATACTAACTCTTTATCCATTATGTCATTTGCAGATATCTTCTCCCATTCATTGGTTGCCTTTTAGTATTGTTCATTGTTTCCCTTGCTTTTTATCTTGATGAGGACCCGGTAGTTCATTTTTGCGTTTATTTCCCTTGTCTTCAGAGACATGTCAAGTAAGAAGTTGCTCTGGCCAAGGTCAAAGAGGTTGCTGCCCGTGTTCTCTTCCAGGAGTTTGTTGGTGCATGTCCTCACATTTAGGTCTTTCATTCATTTTGAATTTCTTTTTGTGTATAGAGTAAGAAAGTGGTCTAGTTTCATTCTTCTGCATGTTGCTGTCCAGTTCTCCCAGCACTATTTGTTAAAGAGACTGTCTTCTTTCCATTAGATACTCTTTCCTGCTCTGTTGAAGATGAGTTGGCCACATAGTTTTGAGTTCATTTCTGGGTTTTCTATTCTGTTCCATTGTTCTATCTATTCTGTTCCATTGTTCTATGTGTCTGTTTTTTTGCCAGTACCATACTGTCTTGATGACGACAGCTTTGTAATATAACTTGAAATCTGGAATCAGGATGCCTCCAGTTTTGTTTTTCTTTTTCAGGACTGCTTTGAGTATTTGGGGTCTTTTGTGATTCCATACAAATTTTAGGATTGTTTGTTCTAGCTCTGTGGAAAATGCTGGTAGTATTTTGATAGAGATTGCATTATGTGTATATTGCACTGGGTTGTGTAGACATTTTAATAATGTTTGTTCTTGAGCAAACATGAGCTCATCCATGAGCGTGAAAGGGTTTTCCTTTTTTTGGGGGGGTCCTCTTCAGTTTCTTAAGTGTTCTATAGTTTTCAGAGTATAGATCTTTTGCCTCTTTAGTTAGGTGTATTCCTGGGTATCTAATTGTTTTGGTTGAGAATTTCTGCATCCATGTTCATCGGCCTGTAATTCTCCTCTTTAGTGGGGTCTTTGTCTGGTTTTGGAATCAAGGTAATGCTGGCTTCATAGAATAAGTTTGGAAGTTTTCCTTCTATTTCTATTTTTTGGAACAGTTTAAGAAGAATAGGTATTAACCCTTCTTTAAACGTCTGGTAGAATTCCCCTGGAAAGCCATTTGGCCCAGGACTCTTGTTTGTAGGGAGATTTTTGATTACTGATTCAATTTCTTTGCTGGTTATGGGCCTATTCAAATTTTCTGTTTCTTCCTGTTTCAGTTCTGGTAGTTTGTGAGTTTCTAGGAATTTGTCCATTTCTTCCAGATTGCCCAGTTTGTTGTCATAGAATTCTCTTACAATTGTTTGTATTTCCTGGTATTGGTTGTGAGCTCTCCTCTTTCATTTGTGATTTTATCTAGTTAGGTCCTTTCTCTTTTCTTTCTGATAAGTCTGGCTAGGGATTTATCAATTTTGTTAATTCTTTCAAAGAACCGTCTCTTAGTTTCATTGATCTGTTCTATTGCGTGTTTTGTTGTTGTTGTTCATTTGTTTGTTTCTATATCATTTATTTCTGCTCTAATCTTTGTTATTTTCCTTCTCCTGCTAGATTTAGGCTTTATTTGCTGTTCCTTTTCTGGCTCCTTTAGGTGTAAGGTTAGGTTGTATGTTTGGGGCCTTTCTTGCTTCTTGAGGTAGGCCTGGATTGCACTGCATTTCCTCTTAGGACTTCCTTTGCTGCATCCCAAAGGGTTCGGACTGTCGTGTTTTTCATGTCATTTACTTCCATGTATTTTTAACTTCCTTAATTTTCTGGTTAACCCATTCATTCTTTAGTTGGTTGTTCTTTAACCTCCATGTATTTGAGGGCTTTTCAAATTTTTTCTTGTGGTTGACTTTAAATTTCATAGCACTGTGATCTGAAAATATACATGGCATGATCTCAAACTCTTTTTACTTGTTGAGGGCTGATTTGTGACCCAGTATGTGATCTATCTGGAGAATGTTCCACGTGCAGTCGAGAAGAATGTGTATTCCACTTTAGCATGAAATGTTCTGAGTATATCTGTTAAATCCAGTAATGTCATTCAAAGCCATTGTTTCCTTGTTGATTTTCTGCTTAGATGATCTGTTGCTGTAAGTGAGATGTTAAGGTCTCCTACTGTTATTGTATTATTATCAATGATTTTCTTTATAT